AATTCTCAAACTGATAGTTGTATTGTCTCGCAATCAAGAATCCCCAAGATCGCTTCATTGATCTTCCTGAACTTCTCTTTATTATAGATTTGAGAATCTAACTTAGAATAGGTAGATCATGCATAGCGTCTGCAGGTGATACATTTCATACATAGCGCCTTTAACCAATTTTACTAGGCGATCATGCATGCAGATTATATAGCTATTATTTCGCAAAAAAAACAAATTATATCATCATGAATAAGTTATGTATAGTGTCTTTGGCTAAATATAGTTGAGATAAATAATATTAATATTCAATCAAAAGATATTGCGAAGTGCCTTAACGGCTAAGTCTATTTCCTTTGCATTTTCACACAGAAGTGGTCTGAGTACTTTTCATAATAGGTAATAGTGCTTAACAATTCAAACGTAAACCTTCCTGGGAAATCAGGAATAGGTCCATATACTGCCTTATCTAACTGTCGTCTTAACTGATGTTTCTTAGCTTCTATCTATCCACTAGGGGAACAATAAACATATTCCCCATATGGTGGAGTACATTTTACTGGATTGATTATTCCAATATACTGCGAGTAATGTTTCTTAAATAAAGCATAAAACTCATCGCAGGCTATAGCATACTCTTCTTGCGTCTCAGGATTTTTTACTATCTGTTCTTTTCTAAGTATACCTAAATATTTCTTTCTATCTGGAGTAGCATCATTTCTCACCATATTCTAGGCTCGCTGTGCTCCTGTCTCAGGTCCCAACTTATAACTCCACCAAGCCTGTTGGATAGCTCTTGCACTATTTAAAACGCGATATGCTATTCTTTCCATAAATTTCTGCCCTTCAGGAGTGTTAGAAGTGGTACCTTCATAGCTTTTTTTGTATGCGAAATAAACATTATAAAGCTTATTAGTCTCATCGGAATTAAGTCATTTTTTAATTTTTCGTTTCAATAATATAGATCTAACATATATGATACGCCTTTGCTCTATTCTGCCAATGCATTCATTCAGATGATTATTTGCACATTTCTCAGTAATATTGAGGATAAATACTAATAAATCACATACAGTGCAGTAAATGTGAGATGTACGCTCCCCAGGTCTAAATTCCCCATCTTTATATTCTCTTTCAATCATATGAATGTATTCATTCTTTGAGAAGAATCTTGGATTATATTCGAGAAGTTTCTTAAACAGAACACGAATACAGGAACACCACATTTTTGGCGTTTCATTACTATATCTATAATGTAAATTGGTTAATGCTTTTACAACCTCAGGAATTAAACCATATTGGTAGTCAGTTCTAACCATTTTACAGGTATAGGCGGTTTATAGCAATTTCACTGATATTTTATAGATTTATAGCGGTTTTAGCAATTTATAGAATTTATAGCAAGTATATTATAATAAAATATCAGATTCATTTTTATTCGATTGCTCAGGTAAAAAACAGATTCATACTTTTTTATATTTTTGATTTGGTTAAATTAGATCCGATCACCATAGACGGCTAAATTATAAATTTTATATCACAATAAGATCCCCTAGTTTCTAGTCAACCTTCTCACAACTCAAATCACAGGATGGGTTACAGATCAGCATTGTGTTGCTAATCAGATTTTGCGCAGTAGCTAAGCCACCATTATTATTCGATTAATCATTATATTTTTCAGCTTTAATATATTACAAACGCTAATTCATTCCCAGCTCGTTTAAATCATGACACATAAAACTTTTCTTATGCGTAAAAATGTCTCTAAAGTGGGATGATGAACAAACCCGTATTCTCATCGATGAACGTAAAAATGGTAATGTTGAGTACCACTGAACTCCTAAACGTAACAAGAGAAACTTCTAGGGAAAAATAGCAGAGAAGCTTAACCAAATTTATAACATGAACTACTTTACTGGGGAGACTGTAATAAGAAATTCTTAGCTCTAACCTGAGCATACTATGTAAGTAATATAATAATCGAACACCCATATACTTATCCCAATTCTGATCTGATATATTTGGCATATGTAGAAGTTAAAAAGAAGAGAAGTATTATTGGAGAACATTATTACGAAGAGTTCTCCACAGAATTTTGGAAAGAACCCGATATTTGCACCACATCTTGCGAAGCGCCTTAATGGCTATTTTCGAAAAAGATAGATATATAAAGCAAATGTAATTAATAAAAATTAATAAATATCAACATCGCTTTTAAAACACGCACACATTTAAAAAGGTCGAAGTGAAATCTTTATTATATATTTTCGTAAAGTAATACATGAGAAATGGCCGACCGGCTAAGTAAAAATGAAAGTAAAAAATAAAAGAGTAGCAGGTTGTTTCAAGGGAGGAAAGGCATAAAAGAACATGCCTGCTTGATAAGCCTGCCGAGCCCTAACTCAAATATTGGCAGTTCCTTCCCCACTACTCCGCATTATTATTAAAACTAGCTACCCATGCGTTTATCTGATTAACAGTACTAACTGTACTGCGACCAACACCACTATAAAAAGTTTTCACTGTTGAGATTTTAATATTCCCTCCAAGACTACGAATATCCATTGCTACCGAGAAGCACATCTCATCAAAAGTATAATTCCTCGCCTTCATAAGTCGATCAAAGTGTTGTTTAAAGCGAATTTTAATGTCTCCAGTAATATCAAAAA